AGTACCCTTTAAACTAATTGGTGCCTACTCCGGTACCCTAATAAAATTAGGGGTACCGTACCCATCCACTAAGATCTATAGGGTCTGTTTTTGAGTCTTTCTCTTCTCCCCCCTAATTTGCTAATATATCGCTATATTTACTCCCTCTGTCCCGCTAAGAAGTTTCTGCTTTCCTTTTTAGCAGTCCCAAAAGAAGTTCCTCTTACCCTAAATGGAAAGTTATCATACATCAAAACAATGCCAAACAATGCAAAACAGTGTCAAACAGTGCCAAACAGTGTTAAAACAGTAAATTTTACCCCCTGGCAAGTTTATTTCCTTAATACTACTCCCTCCGTCCCCGAAAGAAGTTCACCATTTGACTTTCACACACTATTATGCAAGTAAACTTACCAGGGGGTAAACTTTACTGTTTTGACACTGTTTGGCACTGTTTGACACTGTTTTGCACTGTTTGGCACTCTTTTGATGTAAATAACTTTCCATTTATGGAAATGGGAACTTAAATTAGGGACATCCAAATAAGGAAAGTGGGAACTTCTTTCGGGGACGGAGGGAGTATCTATTTGTGTAAGTCAAACTAGAAACATCTTAGCGAAAATGGAGGTAGTATTTGATACCTAATTGGTATTGGTTCTTCGTTAAACCTACGTTACGTTAGTCCTTCCGTCAAACTTTATCGTTTTCATTTCTCAACTACGTTGTTTCGATCTTTTCTCTCTATCGCATTTTCGTCGGGTGTGTGATTAGGGATCCCGACAATGGATAACCAGTTGGATATGCTATTGGCGATCTTGCCGATGGTGAAAATGTTGGGATCCTTGGCTTACTCGACGATTCTGGAGACTCCAAAGTCAGGTATATACTCCTTGCCCTGCGAATTGGTGATCAAAATTGGAAGCATCATGTCAAAGATAGGTAAATGAGTTTGGGTAATTGCTATATCCTCCAAAAATTATTATATGCCTTATTTGCTTATTGTTTGCCCTATTATTATTTATGTTGTGTACGCTTTTCCATTTTTAATATGAGCTTGAAAAACTATGTCTCTGTTTTGAATGAATAAAATAGCTTTCCAGATAGCCATTTAATTTATTACACTACTACGTAAGGTTTTATAAGAAACAAGTTGTAGTTGATATTTTTTTGAATGTCAAATGATTTTTTGTACTTCATGGGTCTGGATTGAGTTCAACTAGCTGTATCGTTGTCTTCTGATGCTGGCTCTAGGATAAACATTATTAGTGTTAGGATCCCTCTTTAATTACAGAGTTTCAAGAAAATTCTAGAGCTTTCTAGAGAAGTATAGAATTTTCTAGAACGTTCCGGAGAATCCTAGAGAAGTCTAGAACTCGCTAGAAGCTTGTGGAATAGTGTGGAATTCTCTAGAATATTCTAGAGATGTGTGGAACCTTCGGGAACCTTATGGAAGAGTATGGAAGGATATAGAAGGGAATGGAAGAGTGTAGACTCCTATAGTGCGTGGAGCATTCTAGAGAATCAATCCTAACCCTTGGATACAAATCATCCCCACCATTCATTGTGAAGGTGGAGTAGTATAAATAGGAGTAGAGGCCTCCATTCCTAACCATCCTAGCAAGAGTGAATCCACTTTGAGAGAGTAAGAGAGCCTCTTTGAGAGAGAAGAGAGATTGATTGGGAAGTTCCTATTCTCAAGCTTGAGTGAGCCACCATTGAGTGAGACAATTTTGTAACATTCTTGTATATCCTACTATTCTTTTGTATAGTGGAAGAATCTCCATATTGGAGAATTTAAATCGTGTGCTCCCATTACTACATTAACCCCTAAGTGCCTATCTTAACTTCACGAAGCTGGAAAGTCTGGAGTTTTTCCCAACAGTGGTATCAGAGATAGGTTCATCCGAGATCGTCATTAGCTCGTGCAGTTCAAAATGGAGGATAACGTCGCTCATGATGGAGACATGTTCAAGCTCACTGCCAACAACTATTCATATTGGAAGCCGATGATGGAAGATCATTTATACTGCAAGGATTTGCATGAGCCCATCATCTACAAAGAGAAGGTTGAAGGCAAAAGTGATGCCCAGTGGGAGCTACTGAATCAGAAGGTTGTTGCTATGATCCGTAAGTATATCGATGACAAATCTCTCTTCGAGTATATCTCTACTTACACAAATGCTTATGAATAATGGACAAAGCTTGAGTCCATGATTCAAAAGAAAACACCTTGTAATAAGGTGAATTTAGTTTGACGGTTGGTGAAGTTAGTGTTTTCCCATCATTTTGCAAGGGAGCCAAAGATTCATTATTTTTTTGGCTTGAGAATATGATGAAATAAAGCAAAATGGCTCACTAAACTGTTTGCGCTTTTTTGTTTGAAGTAGCAATCAGTCCATGCAATTTTGGACGCGATTTTCACTATGAGTCATCCGGAAATAGTCTCTTTGTGCCTTAGTACAGGGGTAAAACTGCGTACATCCGACCCCTACCACATCGTAGGTGGGAGCCTTTGCGGCACTGGGGTAAATGAAAACGATGATGATGATGATGATGATGATGATGAAAATGGTTGGTGAAGTTAGAGTATAAGGATGGTCATAGTATGATTGAACACTTGAACAATTTCAAGGGGCTCATAAATCAATTAACCAAAATTGAGATGAAGATTGACCGTCAGTGATAACCTTCTTGGCGAAGAAGCAAGGAGAATGGAACGAGGTGAGTCTATCCATCCCAAGGCTAATATTATTGAGAACTGGGGTAGGAATGAAACTCGTGGACGCAGTAAGAGTCGAGATCCATATCAATCTCGAGGTAGGTCTAAGTCATGCTCGAAATCACATGCTACTATTGTGGAAGAATGAGTCACAAGAAAATGGAGTGTCGGTCCTTCAAAAGAGACCAAAAGGTCGGTAACGTCAAACCAGACCAAGTCAGCACAATGAAGAAGCAAGAAGTGAAGAGTACCACTGTTGTAGTCGCAAAAGAAGATCTGGTATATCTCGTTGGAGAAGGTAACATACTAAACATTGCTTATGATGATAGCTCTTGGATTGTCGATTCTGGTGCTCCCTTCCATGTCACTTCCCATGGAAGTTTCTTCTCATCCTACCAAAGCGGTGACTTTGGTACGGTTCAAATGGGAAACCAAGATAGAAGCAAAATCGTTGGGATAAGAGACATCATTCTGACAACTAGCACCAGATGCAAGCTTGTTCTCAAAGATGTGAGGCATGTCTCGACCATGTGCCTCAATCTTATCTCCGCTGGAAAGTTAAATGATGCTGGTCTAATGACCTACTTTGGTGAAGGAAAGTGGAAGCTCACCAAAGGAAGTTTGGTCATGGCTCGAGGAAAGAAGGAAGGATCGTTGTATGTGGTGGAAGTTATGAGCGAGAGCAAAGGAGAGGTAAATATAACCACTGATGACATGGAGGTATGGCATTAATGACTTGGCCACATAAGTGAGAAGGGTCTCCACATACTTGCTCAAAAGCAACTCCTCCCAGACGTGAAAGGTAAGTCACTCGATCCTTGTGTGCATTGTTTAGCTGGGAAACAACATAGGGTTGCTTTCCAAAGATCTTCTCCACCCACAAGGAGAAAGAACATCCTCGACCTTGTACACACCAATGTGTGCTCAATGTCCGAGAAATCCATTGGTGGTGCATTGTACTTCGTGACCTTCATTGATGATCATTCAAGGAAGGTGTGGTTGCACCTATTAAAATCCAAGGATCAAGTGCTTGACGCCTTCAAGGAAGTCCACGCTCTAGTAGAATGTGAGACTTGTCGGAAGATCAAGTGTGTACGGTCAGACAATGGAGGTGAGTATAGAGGTCACTTTGAAGCCTATTTCAAGAAATATGACATTATGCTAGAGAAGACTCCACCCAAGACACCACAATTAAATGGTCTAGCAGAGAGAATGAACAAAACAATTGAAGAAAGATAAGCGTTGAATTATATCTTACACGCATGCACCGCCGCTGTTGTCTGACCAACGGGGTCGGGTTTCCAGTGCGGGTCTTGATCGGCCCGTCTGCATATGACTTAAAGATGGTTTTTCTATTTTTCGCTCCTTTATGTTTTGAATAAACTTTTGGCATAATAGACATGTCTATTCCGGCATAATAGACATGTCTATTCCTTTTGGAAGGTCACCACCTTTCTTTTATTAGTTGTCTTTTGGTATATAGTATCCTGGTCAAAGAACTCTATAAAATATAAATATGTCTTCTTGCCTGGGAGTTTAATATTCAAAAATAATCTCATCAACTCTATTATCTTCCTTTAATCATTTCATTAAAATGCTGAATCTTTGAGTTTGCCAGTGTTCTTCGAGAAAATAGAAACCATTCTATCATGGGAGACGATTGCTAAGCTACTTGTGTTGTGGGCAAATTCGTCTTAAGAAGTCAATGATTCATTGGGCAAATTCTATTGACTTTAAATTTATTTAATTAATGCATGTGGATTTATATAAATTTACTATAACAGATCAAACAAAGAGAAATAAGAAATTTACAGACATACCTAATGGTGGACTGAACCGGGCCGGTTCGGGCCTCGGGCCTAGGCTCGGCCGGGCCTCGATTCAGTAATAGCAGGCCCGAGCCCGAACCGGGGTAGGGCGGTCCCGGGCAGGACCGGGCCGGGCCGGTCGGGCCACCCGTTTTTTTTTTTTTTTTCCTTTCTTCCCCCTCCCCCCCAAACCCCCCCAAACCGGCCTAAACAGATAGCCCAAGCCCAACAGCCCAAAAAAAATGAAAAAAATTAAAAAAAAAATAGATTTGGCCCGGACCCGGGCCCGAATCGGCCGGGCCGGGCCGTCAAACCCATGAACCGAGCCAGGAACCGCCCCACCCCCGGGTCTCCGGCCCAAACCGGACCCGGACCCGGAAAACTGGGCCGGGCCGGGCCCGCACAGTAGCGGGTCGGGCCGGTCCCGGGCCGGGCGGCCCGAACCGAGGCCATGCCTAGACATACCCAGTCGGTCAATCACAAGAAACTTAAATTTTGTGTAAGCTCGAGTTGATTATTAATTATCATTAATTTCCTGTCTCGTCCATATACTATTCTCTCTTTTTCTACAAAACATTCAAAATATATCTATACACGATAAACTGGTTACACCAATGAATGCACAACAAAACCCGGCAACCATATGAATTACTCAAATGCCCCTTGTATATACTTCGTATTAAAAATGGTACTAGTAACATACGGAGTATAACAGTAAGAGCACTCCTAGAGCCCATTTGGTAGCACCAAAATCGGCTGTTTTGGCTGATTCTGCTTAAATTTATGATATTCTGGCTGGAGTGGCTGTTTTGGCTGATTCTGCTGATTTAAGAAAAAAATATTTTAAAAATATATTTTATTAATAAATTAAAGAAAAAATTATATGTAAAAATAGCTAAAATGGTCCTCTACAATAACTTCAGCCAATACAGCCAGAAAAGTAACTCCAACCTTACTTTTTCGGCTTATTACACAATTCAGCGCGCGAAAGTAAAAGTTACGTGTTTGGTGAAAAAGCTGGCTGATAAGCCTGATAAGCCGAAAACAGAGTTCTCCAAACGGGCTCCTAGTATGTTAAAGCCTAAGGGCATACCCTATATCCGGCACCTGAGCGAATTCACAATTATAACTGGTTACCTACCCTATACACATCTCTATACTATAATGAAGAGATACAATGATAGTTAGGAACATACTATTCACGCTTTTTTAGTTTCAATCTTGCTTCCACATCACCGCTGTAGGGGGCAACATGGAATGCATATTGCTGCATAAGGGAAAAGAAAACCATCTCGGCACAAATTAAGACATTTTGAATGGCTTCCTGAATATGCTCAACGTCCAGCCAGAAGTGCTGTGATTTTATAATGTCCATTGCAACCAGAATGTCAAGCAAGATCCCCTGGATATATGGCAAAGGAGTATTAATAAATAATAAGTGTGATAGTTGAGAGAAAGCATGTGCAAAATTCATGTAGTCATTATATTGGGGGAGGGGGTGAGTATCAAGCCTCTGAGGTTCAACTCTAAAAAGTCAAGCCATAGGAGTAGTCTCAAGGGCTTGATGAGGGATTTATGCCTTGGCATTAATAACAGAAAGGCTTCAGACTACCTACCTGCCAAAAGGAGAAGAAAACTATGCCCGTGATGCAGAGGAACTTGGAAAGAGGTTTGTGTGGTTGAAGGTCCTTTGAGAATAGATGATAGAAAGCAAGCAGCGAATACATTGCGACGTAAAAGGAAATGTTGAGAATTATCGTGAACGTCCAGCCCAGCCAACTTGGGTAGAACCCTAGGATCTGTAACGTTATCATCAAGATGGAACTGACAGGGCGGATTATAACAAACTGCCATGTCCAGTACTTTAGAAGCCTCAATGTATTGTGGTCCAAATGAGTAGTTCTAGGCTGCAATTTTTCCGAAAACAAGAAAAACAAGGAGCATTCTCTTAGGTATCACTGAGTAACAACCAGATGTAGGACAAATAGTTTACCAACAGTCATATTAGCCTCAAAATATGTATAAAAGAATAAACTTAAGAGTTTCTTGTAGATGTATGCAACCGACAATAATTTTTTTAAATAGAGGTTTCTGAGTTAGACATGGACTAAAAACAATGTAATGCATAATGCAAAGATACCGTTGGTAAAATGTATTTAAGCCTATTAACAATGAGCAATTATCAATAAAGTTACCGTTGGTAACTGTGCAGCGACTTTTGGGTAACTACATCAGTGACATTTTTTTTTTAAAAAAAGTAAAAATTAACATTTTCCCCAAATGTTTAAATAAAAAATCTCAGAAAACAAACCAAATATTGAATATAAAAAATCTCAGAAAACAAACCACTTTAATAACTGCTCCTTTGATGTTACCGGATAAGCATAATCACACCTGAAATAAAGTCATTGGGAAAGAATGGCGTATCTCCCTCCCTTTGATCTCATCTGGCACTATGTTTTTGCTAATGGATATGTTCAAGTAGCTATACATTAATGCCAAAAACATAGCAATTGCCTGGAAATTAAGATAAAAAATAGAACAAAAATGAAGTTCAATTTGGGATTCATTAAGAAGAGAAACATTGACAATGTAAGGGACAGCCAGACAGGGGACCAACTTACAAGAGCCTCATAGCATTCCTTAATTGAGTCAAGGAACATGAAAAATTCTTTGCTTCCCTTATGATCCAACAATCCAACAAATGAGTTAAGTGCATAAATTGGGGCCATAAGTATGATTATTATAATAGCTTTCTGCTGCTTAGGGTTCTTCCAGTAAAAAAGGTGTTGGGACAAGAGCTGTAGTGTCAAATGCATTGTAAGCATTGTACACATCCCAGATCCAACCATGGTCAGTTCCCCCCTATTCATCTTAGTGAAATCCATTCTCCTCACAAAGCCAGACCAAAACCTGCAAATTGTTTATATACCTGAAAACTGAAAACTCAATACCACTTTATAAAAAAAAATCATATAGAATGGCCAGGCAGGCCAGCTCTGATTTTACATCAAACAGTTTAGCTACAAGCACATATAAACCAGCATGATGACCAGGTTTTAGGACTTCACAAAATCTTGATTAAAGGTAAGCTTCACTCTTTTTATTGGTTAAATTCTCCGGCATAAGAATAAAATAAATTGCTGGTAAATCTAAGGAAAGAATACTAATTCAAAATCACCTGAGAGGCTCAGATACAATTCGCTGACTTCTATGGCCCCAGAGATGCCGCAGTTTAGCAGGTTACAGTTTAAGCCGTGTATTCGGACCATCAAAGGTCGAAACTTTCAGATGCTGTGCAGCCAGGTCAACTGCGAGTAGTGCAATATTTGAGTTCAACTAGAAGAATTTTTATCTACCCGACTAGTAACTCCTTAAAATAGTAACTCCGTCCTGTTTCACACAATTAGGCCATTTGAAGTGGTATAATATTAGGAGTCCAAAATGTTAAAGATAGAATTTTGAACTCCTAATTTCACGTATTGGTAGGTTAAATAGAGTATTAAAAATGGAAGTGGGGATGGAGGGTGTTAGAAATAGAGGGTGGGTTGGTAGGAGTGAAAAAAAGAAAAAGAAAAGAAATAAGGAAGGGATGTGAGGATGATGTCATCCATGCATCATTCTAATCCAAAATTTTTTAAAACTCTTATAACATTTTTATTTGTTCTCCAGATTTTTCAAAAGATATATCAAAATTTATGAATTTTTATTATCTTTTATATGACACTAACATGTAATATATAAAATGAAAAAAAAATCTTATGTTTTAACTATTGGAATTTTCTTGAGTCTGAAAAAACACAAGATACAAATTTTTAATTCATGAAACCTCTACACATAACTGAATATTCCATAATAAAACTTTACTTGGACTAAATTCATTTTTTGTTAACCGAAAAACGTAAAAAAAAATTAATGAAATTTATTTATTTTTACATCGAAATATGTATTTTTTATTTCATACGGTAATTATTTAGGGAAAAAAGTAAATTGAAAATATTACTTATGATGATTTAACTAATGTTTTACTAAATTGATATGTGAAAAAATATGTTGAATGTATTTTATTGACGGTGCTGGGTTGCAAGGAATAGGAGTCTAAACACTATTTTCATATGGACGGAGTCCATTTTTAACTTTTTAGCCTCCTAACCACTATTAATGGTCTTAGGGGTGGGAAAAACCGACCCAAAACCCGATAACCAAATCGACCCAACCCGATCTATGATATTGGTCCGGGTTTTATACTAAAAATGACCGGTCAGGGTTAAAATACCTGGACTGAAAAAAAATGTCGGGTTCTAAAAATGTAAGCCCAACCTGGACTGAAAAAAACCCGATTTAATTAAGAGACTAAAAAATATACATTTTACATAAAATATGTATGACATATAAATACATCATAGGATTTTTTACATATGATACATATGGATTATTTTGTACTACCTCAGTCCCAAATTGATATGCAAAATTGGCTTTGTTTAGTCTAACAATTTCATTTTATTCACTTAGTTAGGATGTTAAATCTTAATTAAATTTAATTTGGAGTTTGCAACTTTGAAGAGGTTTTAATGTACTTTTTGAATATGTAAATTTTAATTAATAAAAATTGAATTAAGTATCAATATGAAGGATTTAACTTTAAAATTGGTTGATAAAAAAACCTTAACTTTGTTAATCAATTTGGGACGGAGGGAGTATTACTTTCCTTTCAAACCAGTCGTTCTTCTACAACATATTCTATCGTGTGATTGTTAGATTCAAAATATAGTGCTTTGGTTTTAATATACTATGTATTTTTTTATTAGAAGTTCGAATATTTGCAATTTTTGTTGTGATTATATTTCAATTGTTCTTAGATATCTTGGTTTGATTTTTCCCGGGTTCAACCCAACCCACCCCGGACCCAACCCGAACCCGAGGCTCTTAAATCCCGGACCAACCCGAAACCATTGGTCCTCCGATTGGGTCCAAAAATGCAGAACCCGAAACTTTTCGGGTTTTTAGCGGTCCTAGCTAAAAACCGACCCAACCCGACCCGATTACAACTTTTAAGAAAAAGTGGAATTGTGTGGTTGGTATTGAATTGCTAAAATGTGAATAAAGTAAGAATGAATAGTAACCACTCAAATATTACCAAATATGGCACGAGACAAACTTAATGGGACAGACGAAAAAGGTAAAACTGAACAAAGTTAGGGGGACGGAAGGAGTACTACCTCCGTCACACTAATAGGACGTTTGTTAAGGTGTAAAGTAATCATTTTATATGCAAAGTGTAGGGATGCAGACAATTTACACTGTATGGTATGATTATTTAATGTAAAGTGTAGGGTACTATTTTAAAACATTTTATACTGTACCATGTAAAACACTTTAAGTGAGGGAGAGTGGTAAAATACTTTATATTCTTAATACTTCCTCCGTTCGGAATTAATTGCAACATTGCAATGGGCACGGATCTTAAGAAATTTAGATAAAGTGTTTTTCTTCCTATTTTGACCCTCCTCTCATGTTTAAGGCTCTCAACCACGTGCACCACATAAACTTTCTGACAATCAAACTCATCATCTTCTTGTTTCAACTTTGCCATGGATTCCTATATTATAGTTTCAGGTTCTTATATTTTCCTTCATCTTCTTCCTAAATTTGCACTACACCTTTGATGATTTCAGAAGCTATAAATCTTCATATCTCGGTCTCGATATATTTTCTCTTCGAGTCTAAATTCTCCTTATCTCCTATAACCTTGTTAGTGATTTAATTATTCTTCATGTCTTGATCTATCAAAGGTGGGAGCTCCTCCGAAAACAAATGTTTTAAATTTTGTTAACTGGTCATATGTTACAAGGAGCAATGGAGCAAGCAAAAAATGTAATTTCCATTCGGGTTTGTTGGTTGAGCTCCGATATAAAGAAACAAAAAGTGACCAAGAAGATGGGTAGAGAAAAGAAGTGAAAAAGAAGTGAAAGAAGAAAAAACGGAGATGGTGGAGTTGAAAGAGACTCACCTTATGGAATGGAGATTGAGAAGGGAAAGTAGGAGAGAGATGAAAGGGTGGGCAAGAGGTGGAAACGCAGGCTGGGGAATTGGGACGGAGCAGGTGGGAGTATTATTTGGGGTTAAATAAGTTAGAGGGTATAAAAGTTATTTCACTTGTCTATTGTTACTAAATTTAGTAATGTTGCAATTATTTTGAAACTCTCAAAAGAGGAAAGTGTCTCAATTATTTAAGAATAAGTATAAAATTTATCAAATCAAAATTACACAGTGCAGCACCAGCCGTTCTTCAGATTTCCGTTCACCAAGATTCTTCTCAAGAGCTGCACGGGTTCTTCTACTTATTTCGATCAACATAGTTTAGGAATTATACCACTCATAAATCTGGATTTCAGGCATATTAATTTGTCATTCGGAAGCCTTGTTTTATGGCATGTTAAGTACTCTATCAATTATCAATATTTTTTTTTTGTGAAATTCTATTTTCTGTAATTATGATCAATTAGCACGGTGAGTTATTCTAATAGCACGGTGAGTACTATCAATTGGTTTAGGAGTTCTATGATCAACTAGTTTAGGAGTTATTCTATCAACTATCAATTATGGCATGTGAGCATGCCAATTATCAATTAGTCTTGCACCGGATTGGAGTACTATTTTCTTGGCTTAATTAACAGGATGAGTTATTCTATAATGATTTAAACTCACATAGTTTTTTCTGCTTTAGGAAAATCTTTCTTCTTCTTGGATCAAATCAGATGTTCTTCTACAAGTGGCTCAACACCCAATGCCTGTATCTTTTTGCTTGTTTGTTGCAGATAAGGTTCCAGATTGATGTCAAGAAGTTGACATATTTCATCTGTGAATTTAACACTACCAGTAGAATGTGGTTTCATCTTTCCATGCACCGTGAATATTTGTACTTGATTTATTTAGTTTAAAGGTTTTACCAGAGAGTTTTGCATTGTATCTCTACAATATAATAAGCCTGAATGAAGGTTAGGGGTATTGTGGGTATAAAAAATTTGTTGGTGGTATTCTAAGCTTACTTGATATGTACATGATGTTTAAAAGCTTGTAAACTTTCAATTAACTTGGCTTAATCTCCCTAAACCCCGTTTGTTCCCGTTAATATTCCAAGGCCCAGCACAGCTTCGCTCCTCGCTTCTTCTTTTGCCCGCACATCCCACTCGCATCCTTTCATCTTCTTCTGCGTTTATCTGTAAGTTTTTTTTGTTGCTTCAATCGTTCATTACTCTGCCATTTATGAACCTATTTAATTTCAGCACATCGATCCTTCTCCTCTCTAGAAGGTTGTTAGGGAAATCCAATGGACACGGTCATCTTCACTCCTCTCCCCTAGCCGTATAAATTCATGTTCTTCCTCTGGCAGACGACTTTTCCCGCAACCTCACACATCTCCAGGTGCGTCTTCTTCCTTGTTTGTTCTTGTTTCCCCCCTTTTTCACGGGTTGCAGAAACACACCGATATATATAGATATATATCCGCTCATGGCTCATTCAATTTAGTTGGTGTCCGTACTACACTGCCGGTCTGGGAGCATATTTCTTTGGTCGTTGTTATCTAGCCATTGACATGCTTACTTAGAACGAAGATGTGGTTAGTTCTGTACTGCCACGGTTGCACTATTAAATTCTGTCAATCAAGAGTTTGTGTGTGCACTTAATTTAGGAGGCAAACTAAAATTTATTTACTGCACCCTAGATGCTTGTGAATATGTCTAAGTGCTGTTTTAGACTCTTTTGTGTTCACTCTGCTGATTCATGAATAATGTACAGATTTCTTATAAAGTTATGAAGCCTTTTGGAGTTGGTAGATAATAGTGTGAAAGTCCCTTTAAGTTGATATATGGTTCATACTCCAGAATTAGAAGGTTGCAACATAAGAGGACTTCTTTTGGATTTTTGGCATTGATTGCTGTGAAGAACTAGCAATTCGCTGTTGTAGTAGACGTCAAACCCATATAACTCGTGTTTTTTTGCTTTGCAGGATAAGTGCAGTTTGGTCTGTCATTATATTTCTTCAGATGCTTTTACCGCTTTCCTTTATTTTCCTTACAAATAATATATTTATACCCCACAACTACAATAACAACTTTGGTTTTGAAAGTTAATATGCTAAACTATTTTTATACTATAATCAATGACCTCTAATTTTGTGTTGGACTTATATACAGTATGCGGTGTATGTGATGCATGACCAATCCTTATGACACACAGACATATATTTTTCTTGGAGAAATTAATGCATGACGTACATATTTAGATATGCTATTTTCCAAATGAATCTAATGTTTCTTGGGTAGATGAGTATGTTTCTTAGGTGAACACTGTACATTAATAGAAAGCATAAGAAACAGAA